ATATATATATATGTATGTATATAATGAATCTTCTCCCTCTTTCTTCTCTTTTTCGCCATTAAGTTAGTTTGTAAATGGGTTGATGACTTGAAGCAAGATGCAATAATTATTCATATATGTGTAAGCATATATGCAAATCTGTGTTTTTGTGTGTGTATGTGCGCGCGTACATGGATTCCCACTTAAAGCTAGGAGAGTACCACAAGTACGAAGGAATCATCATCATCACCATCATCACCATCATCATCATCTTTTAATTTTAAATACCTATATTATAAGGAGGATGATATATTATGATAGATATATAGATGGTTCGCAAACTTTGGCTTTTGTGGATGCATAGGAAATATCAACCACGTTGTACATAATCTTCAGATTCCATGTTGCTTTCGTTTCTTCCAAAGTTTCCTTCAATGGTTTCTGTTCATCAGTTACACAATTTTCGTCCGTACGTTAATAAATACTCATATAGAATATACATATTCACGGATTATATATATAATTATACAGAAATCTTTTTCATTATAAAATCATATTTTCCCACCGTTACTTTTTTTCTTCTCCAAGAAAAAGGTCAATCAATTTTTTTTTTTTTGTTATCGTGTTTTTAAAAAAGAAGAAAAATCTTGTCACCCAAAAAGCTTTTCTTAATTTATAAGAATAAGCAATTCAAAGACTTCGTAAAACAAAATTAAAAAAAAAAATTTATGAGAAATACAAGTATGTAAATTTGTTTCTCAAATTTAAAAGAAGCAATACTCTCTCCTATAGAAATCATGTGAATATCATGCACCCGCTTAACCAATAAGTATTTGGGATTTAGATTTCAGGTTTCAGTTATGTTTTGATTTAAATATTTTCGGCAGTATAAAATGTAATTAGTAATTTTCTTCGTCGCTTCTCTATATTTCATATGTTTTGCAAAATAAAAAAAGTTCAGATATATATAGTCTAATTATATGCAAACCTATATATAATATAAGTGTGTCTGTATATATGCTCAAAATTATTAGAAATGTGCAATGTACTATTCACAAGTCCACGGATGTCTGAAATTATGTACTATACTATATGTTTGTGTTTCCACACGTTGTAATCCACTGAATTTTACGTTTGTTAATATACTATTTTTCATGTGCTCAACGATTTCGAAATGTGAAAATATTATTTTCTGGCCAATCATTTGTTTTACGATTTTTTTTTTTTGCGTTTACGATTTTATTGATCCATCCCTGAAACATATTCAAATGCACCGTTGTTATAATGTTTTGAAAATTTTAGATACATATAATAATTAGTAGATAAAATCTCATGAATTAGGAAAGGTATACATAAGTTTTATCTTCCTTATACATTTGATTAGTAAAATTGTATCCAATTCTCTTGTCATATTATTTAGTCTTTTTTATATGAACAGTTGGCAAATTAGCAAATCGTATCCAATTGTTGGTATGATGTTTTGAACTTGGTTTTGGTGAACCAGAACGATCGAAAAATATAAAAACGCGTTAAACAATTAGAGAATACGACGAGTTTAAACGATATTAGAGTTTAAATATTATTGTAGTTCTTACTTGGTCTGGATTTTTTATATGATATGCTCTTATGATATTTGGAGCTTTCAGTTTTTTTTTTTAACTTATAGTACTAGAAATTAAGAAAAAACATATTCTATGTTTAAGTTCATTCAATGATCGAATTCTAATAAGAATACATATAATAAAATTTAACATAAATAAATTCGAAGACGTTTATAGTATAATTTGAATCCTATAACCATTAATCCAACAATTATTCCTCCTTATCCTCCTTTTTCTTATGATACTAGGAGGTTTTTTATATGTGATATCATATAAATTCTAAAAAAACTACATTATATACCTAGATTCATTCATTTAGTGAAAAAGATACTAATAGAAATAACCATCTTACAATTTAACATAAATAAATGAATAATAATTATATTACAGTTTAAAATAAATAAATTCGGTAACGGTTTCGTATAATTTGCGCCCTAGAGTTTTTAGTATTAATTCACTCCCAAAAACAAAATGTCATTAACGGGCAAAAACCACAAAATCAATGGGTCGATTTCGGCTGAAATGGGCCAAATAAGAAAGCCCAAATTGCTGTGCTGCAGCTAAATTTTAATGTGGGCCACAAAGAAGTATTGGGCCTATGGGCCTTCTGATCTTCTGATTTTAGGGAATGTGGAAAAGAAATAAACCATTTTATTTTATTCACCACATTTTTTGTTTTGAACTTTAGATATGCAACCCACATTAGTATCTTTAGCCAATATGATGAAAATTTAGCGTCCCCCCCCCCCCCCCACACAAA